CCCCCCCACCCCCAATATTGGAGACAGTGCTGGTTGGAGGTTTTTTTTCAACCTAAAATAATTTCTCCTGATTCACCATAGAGTTGTATAAAGAGAACCCCCAGCGCGGTAGAGTTAAAAATGAATAAATGAGGGCACAGCCACAAATTGTGCATGTAGATGAGTGTTGTTGGTCAACATTCCCTTTTTGTATTCTAATGCATCTCTGCCTTAATGCATATATTCAAAGTTCAGGGTTTGACCTGTTTTGCCAGCAATGCAAACAGATCTCAGTAGTACTGGATGTGTCAAAACAAACCCCAAGCAGATCAAATGCAGCCTCAATGATCATCCTCAATACACCATTAAAGTAAATGGGAATCTCCAAACTCGAGTTAAATGTGTAAATGCAGGAAAACAACGCCCATCACATTACACTTGCCTCATGCCAGGCCATAGGTCTTGTGTTCCTGGAGCTCTTCTTCAGAGCTGATCTGCCTTTAACAAATGTTATATATTTACCAACCCCATCTAGAAGCCCAAATCGGTTTCTTTGGCATTCTATTCCTATCTGCCATTGCAAAGTGCATGACTCCATGCAAGTTACTAGGGCACGTGTGAGGTGTGCCCTAGGTGTGAGCCACAGAGCTCTAGATGGGGCCCAAATCAGAATAAGCATTAAGCATGTATCAAAGTTGGGGGACTGGGGTAAGGAAGTGAAGCTTTCCTAAGAATGCACATCTATGTTGCCTTCTATAAGGCATGGGGGGCAAAACATCACTCTGCCCATTTATTGTGATCTCTTTTGAACATATATATACACATGTATGCACTTTTATTTATATATATATATATATATATATAATACGCATTACAGAGTCTTCATTTCCATATTGAATTACCTTTTATGTCTTTGTATGGATTTAGGAGAACTTGTCACTGCTAAGAATTAAAGAGTTGGGGAAGTCCTTCATTATGCTTGCAGCAAATGTGCAAACGTGGAAACTCAAGCACTGAGATCTCACTAGGAACATGGCCAGCAATTTACTGGGGTGGCCAGTAAAAATGGGACTCGTTGCCATGCAATAAATAGGAAAGAGCTCATAAGGCTGCTATATTTTTCTACGGTGGCAACCTTAGATGTCACCTACTGGATTCCTTGAGAAATATAGGAAATGGTTAGATGGTTTAACTCACCTGCATCTAAAAAAACATTGGATTACCAGCTTTGGGAGGGCAAACCCTTTTAACATTATGGCTTGTAAGACCTGCTGGGACCTGTAGTTCAAACAAAGTCAACAACTTTCCTACTGTGGTCTTCAATGTGGACAGTGCTAAAAGGTTTTTCAGAATTCTGGCTACCATGATGACAGTAACGGTTCATATAGTTTGTGGTTTAAGAAGATTCACATATTGGTTTACGCTCAAGCTTGATGTATATTGTTGTTTGTTCTTAGCCCTTTTACTAGAGCTATAAGATTTCTGCTGACCTCTCCTTCTAAAAGTGCTAGCTGTCTGGCCATCATACTGATGCTTTGGCTCAAATACTTTGAGTCGTTGACATCGACAACTAGAGAGAGGATCAGGATTGACTTTTTCAGATTTTCACTTGCTTCTGCATTTCTCCAGACACTGTGATTCAGAATCGCTAGCATTTTTTAGAAAATGGCCAGCAATGGCATGCGTATATCTGTCATGACCGGTGTATTTTATCCATTTATTTAATATCCATATATTTAATACAAGTACTTGGAATACCACACACATTAATATGTCTTAGCTGAGGCCTAGGGTGTTTTGAAACGTTATCATCTACACTGCTCTTGTCACATACTCACAGCTGGCAGCCAATTTGCGCTTTTAGCCAATGCTCATGGGCCTGAGAATTATCTATTTTTTGGGGACATTAGGGAACAACTGCACCTGTAAAGAAACTCAAAAGCCTTCCAATATGATTTCCAATGTAATCTTAATGCGCCTAAAACCATGCTGCATTGGCCCATCTACACAAATCCCAAAACACATTCTATTACAGCCCATGTGAAGGGACTTATTTATAGCAAAGAGGGGATACTGCTATCCACTGAACACCACCAGGTTTACTCAGCACTGCTTTCTGCAATTTATGAGTCGTTCATAAAATGCAAGCCAGGGTATGGCGCCACTGCGCATAATGTTGCAGGAGTGACCATTCACCTGACGGGTTCGCCTATTTACACCTCTTTTTACACCTCTTTTCTATTATTCCTATTTATTAATTTAAATTGGGCTTGCTTTCTTCGGAGTCGCAAAGTAGGCAAAACTCTGAAAATGACAGTAAAACAAAGCAATATGCTTCATTATTGCTGAGATTTAGTTTCTTTAAAACCCATGGTATGGCCACAGTAAGGCCATACCGCTGCTTTACAACTGGGTCCCTTAGGTTCCTATTTGCAGTGTAAAGGGGTAAAATCATGATGATATTTTAGCCATACATTTTTCCAGTTTTAACAATTTTGCAAACCCCTGTGATAACTTTAGTCTTGGTTACAGTCTCCTCTCCTGTACTGAAAAATCTTCAGTATGATTTCACTGCACATTGTGAGATTCTCACAGTATGCATTAGAAGCTGCAATAAGTCAAAAAGAGCCACCCTTCCATTTATTGGATTTCAGGTCTTTTAATCATGGAGGCTCACCATTACATGTGAGCATTACCTAGTGCGGTCTGCTTCCAAATACAGCCTGCCTAGGAATGCCTACTCTTTCAGACTTACATCCACCAATCAAGGCATTTTGATATTTGCATAACGCCTCATAAGAGCCAATCCACTGCTTGCATCATGACTGACAACTTTTGCGAGGAGCACTAAGGCAAGGTACTGTAATTTTTTTTAGGAAGCTATTTACAGCACCCTGCCAGAACCTCCAACCAGCCATGATCTAACCTGCATTGCATAGAGAAGCACAAAGACACAGTGATGACATCACTGGGTCTAAAATAAGGAATGGACAGTAAAGCATTTACATATTCTCAACAAGCAGTAAAAGAACTTCAAAACAAGCCATGTCTGACCCATCTAGCGACTTGTACTGTAAAGCTATTCATTCTCAGATGTCACAAAATGGAGGTAAAAACTACGGACGGAAGTCCATTCCAACAATAGCATCTATTCTTTACTGCTCTGATCAGCAGGGGATTTGTGCATGGATCCCTTGCTAATCGGAGCAGACGGGCGCCTGTGAAAAAGGGGCATTAACCTTTCCTTATGGGGTCAGTATTCAATTTCACAGCATATATTGGCAACTGGGGCCTGCTGGCTTGTTTTTAAAATGGCTGCACACAGGCCATGAGCGGTCTTATTTGCTGACCTGGGCTGTCTGCAGATTTGATAGTCCATTCAGATTCAGTGCGATAATTATCAGACGGATGACTTAGTGTCGAGCACTGAGATCTTGTTCGGTTTAGATAATGCAATATTTTGTCAGTTTGTTGCCGGTTGAAGTATCTTCAAATTTCCATATAACCACTAAAACGTCAGTAACACATCCTCAATGTTCATGTGTGCATCATTCATTTTGTTTCTGTCTCAACTAACCTGTGTCTTTTTCTTGTCCATTTCATCCTGCCGCTGTCCCACTTTCCTACCAGTCCCATTGCAGCCTGGTAAGACATGACTGTCATTGTGTTTTGCTTGTGACTTGAACATTTATGTGTGCAGTGTGTAAATCACTACATTATATGGTTCCAGGGAATGATTCTCATGGCAGGTATAGTTTGAATGACCTTGACTATAGCCCTTCACGCCTCAAACACAACATAAATTTCATTCATGTACTTTGAGAATGTTAGGTGGCCATTTTGATCTCTGAATCAGTATTTTTGAGCAATCAGCTTCTACAGCTGGATGAATTCATAGGGGCGCAGGACCACCATTGCCAAAAATATTATAATCTCATAACTGCATGTTAATGCATAGATACATTTTTTACATGACTATCCTCCACATTTACAAGCCCGTCAAGATGGTACGGGACAGGCTATAAGACTGCCAGCAAGACGAAAAACGGTTACCATTTCTTCCTATGGTATAAAGGTCTTTAAAGGGTAACTATACTTTTGTATAATTATCCTTTAAAGTTGCACTAAACTCAGGAGTTCATTCTTAAAAATACATTCAAGTACCCCAACTATTAACAAAAATGTATCTTGTTTGTATATCACTCGGCTGTAGATCCTCAAATCATCTCTGAAATTGGTGCTGACACTGTCCATTCTTCTGGAGGGTGGCTACTTTTGTTCCCCATGGTCCCTGTGTGTGTTGTAAAGTAGTTACCAGCCAAGCTCACTCCTGTGATGGACTACAATCTCACGTTCAGTTTACTAATTTCTATTGAGATTTTAGTCAATCATGGGAGCGAGCTTGGAGCGGTGGCTACTTTACAACACAGGCTAGGCAGCAGGTTAGAGTAATCCAGGGACAGGCTGGGGTCAGGGCTAGGTGGCAGGTGAGAGTAATTGAGCGACAAGCTGAAGGTTCAGTGTAGACCACAGACAAAAGTGTAATTCAGGGTCAGGTAGAGATCAGGCCAGACAACAGGCAGTAAGTATAATCTGGGAACTGGCTGGGGTCAAGGCTAGGCAGCAGAGATGAGGCAGGCTAACTATGTCAGAGTCAGGGTTCAGAGGGTTGACTACGGGGCCACTGTAGACAGAACTACTACTAGTAGCGTGTAATGCTTAAATAGAGCGTCCTGAGCGCCGCAGCTAATCAGGACGGAAGAGGCAAAATGGTCGCACCCAACTGCCTGGCAACAGGGACACTCTCTAATGGAGTGTTGCCGCTGGCACATCAGAGCAGAGGGGCCTCTTTGGCAGTGCAGGGCCTGTTGCCGGGCAACTATCGCGGACTGCAGTGGAAGGGGGGACTGTTTTAACGTGTAAAATTTTTATATAGTAGTCTAACATACTTAAAAGGGCAATTGAAATGGAAAGAGGGATACTGGTTTCCAAAAATGGGACAGTCCCTCCAAATTAGAGACAGTTGGGAAATATAGTTTTTGTTTGAAATTTTGTTTTGCTAAACCTTATGCAACCATGAAAATCAACCGTACAGTGCTATGGGGAATTCTCTAAGTCACTTTTAGGTCCTATTAATTATCGCAAAATCAGTCTGCTGATTCTTCTTCTGTTTTATTGGTTCTCACTACATACCTTGGTTCTTCAGCTCTGGCTTGGAAAGGGTTAGGCTGTGCTATGTGTGGACCTGCTGTCAAGGTTATAGCACTTTGTCTGTGTACTGTGACGTTTTATTTCAGACATTCCAGTACTGCCAGGAAACATTGTTAAAGAATTCAAAGAATGCTCTGGGGCAGGAGCGCTTCCAGCTGAATTGTTGCCTGAGGTGGCCGGTTTTTCTGCCCCCTTCCCCCAAGGTAAAAAAGAAGGTCTCGGGTGGGAACCTCATCTCATGCTGCTATACTTATTATGGCGGCTTTCCACTTCTTGTTTGGGGGATAGTGGGTGATTACCATGGTGATGCGGACACCCGCCGGAGATAAGTTTTGGCTTTTGAATTTTTCTGTTGATCCTGCTATACATGTCGCATGGACGCTCCGGCCTTCACACAGTGTGTCGCTGAGCGGTACCTGAGCCCCAACTGTGCTCATGGGAAGCACAGCAATGCTTCGGGTCTTACATGGCAGAATTTCCACTTACATTGACCACCAGTGCATCATTCCTCTTTTCTGTGCTGCCTTTCATATTAACCTGCCATCAGATCTAATAATCTCTGCATACCACATCAATATTACTGGGCTTCTGTTTAAAGTGAACCTAAACTAAAACCTTTAATTAGCTTTAGATAGAAAAGGGACCTTTTTAAATCCCTGCTACCAGTTGGGGAGGCTTCCCTTTAATTCCTGCCCTGCATGCCGCCTGACTCTCTGATTGCCCGGGAAACTGGCTCCATGTCAGCGGAAGCACCAGTATCGGTACTCTGTAACAGCGAGTACCGAAAGCAAAATATCGGTACTCGCAGACAGTACCGAAAAAACGGTAGTGGTGCATCCCAAGTATCTATAGAGGGTCAGCGTTGTCACCCTAGTACACCTCCCTCCTTAAAGGAGAACTATGGGGTCAGTGTTTTTCCCCATAGTTCTCCTTGGTATACCACGAGCTACAGCTCGCGGTATACTGAGACGCCGCACCTGGAGCGGATCCCGACTTAGATGACGGGATCCGCCCAGCTGCGTGAGTGACAGCTGGCTCTGCCTATCTAGAGGCAGAGCCAGCTGTACCCGCCCCCTCCCCGTCCGTTCCGCCAGTCAGCGCTGGCAGATCGGAGCGGGAGAGGGGAATCCAGCCCCTCCCCCTGTCACGGCAGAGAGCCGTGACAGGATCGAGAGGTGAGGGAACCCGGTATGTTTTCCCTCACCTCCCTATCTACTGAGCCGACCTGTGACAGTCTCATTGTCACAGGTCGGCTTAGAACTATGAGGTGAGTGGAAATCACTCATGTCATAGTTCTCCTTTAACAGGAGGAAACTGTTTAATGTCCTAACATACTTCCTGATAGCATTCTTTGAGATAACTCTGCAGAGAACAGGATAACACTGGGTTTTTGACTCAACAGGTTTTTTTTTTTGCACTAATTGAATAGATATAACAAGACACTTTCAGTGGTATATTTAGCAGAGCACCAACAGGTTGATTGTTAGAGTTCACATACCCCTTAAACACCTATTGGATGAATTGGAATTCCGATTCTGAGCCAAGTCTTGTCCAAAATCAGTACCTGACCTCACAAATGCTATTTTGGCTGAACGGGCACAGATTCCCACAAACATGCTCTCAAATCTTGTGGAAACCCTCTCTAGAGGAGTGGAGATTGGTATATTTGCGAATTGGAAGCCAACCCCATATTGACATCCATGGTTTTAGAATAGGAGCTCATTTTAATGAGATGGTCAGTTGTCCACAAACCTTGCATGTGGCATGTGTGTGTATGTAAATATATACATACACACTGCCTGCCCCCCGCCCCCCCCCAAAAAAAAGTCACACACTCTAGTATTTATTTGGACCTTTAGTATTTCATTGCAGCACACATCCACCATGGCATTGTTTCGATCAGCTTATGCAAATATGGTAGAGTTGGACTTCTGTGTAAAGTCTTTTCCAGCACATTTGGCAAAGATTGGCAATGGGGTTAAGGTCTGGACTTTGTGGTGGCCAATCTATGTTTTTTATTTTTTATTTACTGCAGTAATTGCCCAATGGAAGACTCTTACCTATTTGCTTAGCTGAAATATACAGTATTATGGTATGTGTGAATTCATCATCAAAATTTAGTTTGTAGATCCAGCTCCTAATAAGGAGGAACAACAGTGTCTTTGTTGACCACCTTTTGTCTCATTAAAAACCTATATGGATCTGATTGAGCAAGAGAGGAGAAAATGTCCTTCATGTATCTCATCCAGCTGTGTGTGGTTTGATAACCTGCCGTTCTGTCTCTTCACAATGAATGTCATTCAAACTGTTTACATCATTGTAGTATGTCAACTTGCTGAAGATCTGCCTTGTAAGCCAGAATAAAACAAGAGTTTGTTGGAGGTCTTGTGCTCTCCAAAGTTCGCCCAACAGACTTCACACACTACCAGGATCTCAAGCTTTAGGCTGCTCGCCTCCTTTGCAAGTTGAGCCAACTCGCCCTGCTGGGGCTGGGTCAACACGTTTCTTCCATGTACCAATTTGTGTCCGTTTCTCCATGCTAAAGGTATTTTCGGATCTTTGGTGAAGATCTGCAGATGAGCAATTTATATATATATACATTATATATATATATATATATACACACACACACACACACACACACACACACACACACACACACACACACACTATATATC